CTCCATTTACAGTGTTCACCATTTTCATTTTGAGCTTGTACAGGTTGAGTTCTATAGGCTTATTCAAGGACATTCAAGGCAAGCTAGCTATTGGAAAAGGTCAAGTGAAGTTCAAGCAAGCTACCAGACATCTCAAACCTTGTTGAGAAGCACTGCATTGCCCTATATGAATCCAACTGAAACAGGTTTTTCTTCACTTTCTATCTCTATATTTAGGAACATTTAGCCTTAGGTTTGTGAATAAAAAATATAGTGTTCAATACCATGAAGTTGTACATATGCTCAGTTTTCATTTATATTAAGTGTGCTAGGAGAATTTCATCAATGAATATGCTGAAAAAACTAGGTCAGATTTTAGGGCCAGAGAAATTCTCTCTGGTCTTTGAGAGTTAGGATTAGTTTTTTATATGGTTGGAATCGTCTTGAAATTCTCTACAAGTTTGATGTTGTAAGTTTTTGCAAAAGATCACGTATACAAGATGTCCCAAGTTTGTACAGGCGTGCGCGTATTTTCAAAAGCTGGAGGTAGAAGATGAAGTTTTGGGCTGGGCTTGGCCTGGCTTGCTTTTGACACCTCCCATTTTCATTTTTACACCCCCTGGCCCATTTTCTTGTATTTTTACATTTTTGCATTTTTGTTTTCTTTTCTAATTTTGTTTATTTATTTCCAAGTATAAAAAATGCTTAAAAAATATTTTCATGATTTTTTACATTTATTTGGCATTTTATTTTAATTTTTTCTAACATTAAAGGCATTTAAATACTTTTTATTGTTAAGACTTGAAATATATATATATATATATATATATATATATATATATATATATATATATATATATATATATATATATATATATATATATATATATATATATATATATATATAGACTTTTATTTTTATTTCTTATTTTTATTCACACTGAAAATATTTTCCTAAATATATTTTATTTTTTTCATATTTTATTTTTATATTGTACATATTTAATTTGATTAATATACATATATATACATATATACTTTTATTTTATTAAATACTTTAGAATAAAAAATATAAAATATTACATTTTCACTTTTATTATTATTTATACTAAGAAATGTCTTTTTTAAGTATATTTTATTTTTGAACATATTAATATATTTTATTGTACATAAATAATATAGTGTATTTATTTTCTTAAAGAAATTAGGGTTTCATCCCTTAAACAAATAAAATAAATCTTTTATTTATTTCTTCATTTTTTACATTAAATACTTTCACATACATAAACAAACAAAAACTTTTCTTTGCATAATTCATATTATTTGATATATTTATTTATTTTTGTTTATTTAAATATTGTCCATTTAAATATTTATGCATTGTGAATTCAATTTGGATGTAATAGTAAACTAGGGTTTATATTTCTTATCAAATACCCGTCATTCAAAATTGTACTCCCATCCCCATAATCATGTTGTAATAGCTTAGAATTTTAAATTCTCGCACTTTACGCTTTCAATTATGCCATGATTAGAGAATTAAGGTTTGTATGCAAAAATCAAATCAACAAATAGCTTGACCTAATCAAAGACAAATATGCATGAAAATCAAACACAATGCACACTTGCATCCCTAGGGTTACAATCCACTTGTTGCCTTCAAAAATGGGCCATGGTATGCATGTTGGGTCCTTTGGCAAAACAAAAACAAAACAAAAGATCATAGTCCCTCGATGACGCTATCTTGGTTTCCTAAAACAAAAATGATCAAGTCCCTCAAAAATTGCCAAAGATACTTGACACAATTGCTATCATGGTCTATACGATGACCCGTGCCTGTCCCGTTTAACATCCTAACACAAGGTTGTTCATCAAATGCAATGGTGAAATAACACTGTCAAAAGGGTTAAAAACATTAGGAAAGATCTTTGGGTAAAATAGGGTAGATAGCTCCTAGTTACTTGATCAAAGCTTGCAAAAACATCCTTGTTATTTTCAAACACACCTCACAACACAATTTCAAAACATTTTCTCAAATCAAACTTTCAAACATTGAAATCTTTTCAAAAGACAAAAACACCTTTGTATACATTCAAACAAGAATCATTACAAAGGTTGCCACAACGATGGCCTCTTTTCAAAATATTTTTCAAAACCACACACAAAGTACCATTTCAAACAATTGAAAAGCAAAAGCAAGTGATCTAAACAAGTAACTAAGAGCCCATGGATAACCATGGATGAAAAGGGTGGTTGCACCTTCCCTTTTCATAATCTACTCCCTGAACCCAAGAAAACATCTCAAAGGTCTTTCCTGTGTTTTTTGACCTTTCCTTAGGATAAAATAAAAAGTCGGTGGCGACTCTTGCTAAACCGAAACATTTGCGAACACAAAACACAAAATCCCAAGTCAGTTCTCCCACTATATCACATATGGTGTTCTCAATCTGTCTAAAGGGTAGTGTTTATGAAGACTTTAGATTTATGAAGAAAGAATGACTTGGGTATAAGTTAGCAAAAGCTAAATTGATAGGTTACCAAGTTAGGCTGATAGCTAATAAGGCTCAAACCGTTGTCCCCCACTATTATCTTGGTAGACTATATAATTGTTCAAAGAAAAGATGACCAGATGTCAAGAGCCTCATCATGATTTTTAGGAGAAAGAAGAAGAAATTCTCTCTTAAACCAGTCGGGACCATGACTTCGCCTGACGAAGGGGGCCATGTATGGTTCAAAACATCACGTTCAGCAAACATGACGGCATACTTTGTAAATTTATTTGTGATCGACATACCAACATTCTCTGGTGTCAACAAATAAAAAATGTTTGTTTAGACCCGTCTTCCTTCAACCTGTTGCACTAAGGTAGAAGGGATTTTGAACTTCAGAAAAGACTCAAATGTGGCGTTAATCCATAGTTGGAGAAGCCTCATGGGGACAGGAATTAATAATTTGTATTTTGGGTCGATGATGGACTTAAAATCAAAAGTAATAAGCCCAAGAGCTTTGTATAGAGAACCTAAAACTAGCTTGATGAGATTAATTTTTTCACCTTCATGAATTTGGGTGGCCAAGGGTATAAACTTATTGGCTACCTGCAAAGAGCTAGAACCAAAGGCATAGCAGGATAACCAAAAGGTTAAGAAAGTAATATGCTCCTAATCAGAAACTTCTTCAAAGTCAGTCTCATTAAAGTCTGTAATGAAATGCTTATAATTGCACAATCAAAATCAAAATCTAGTTTGGTGCTAGTTAACAAAGTATGGTCGAAGGTTTCACCAATAGATCGAAGACCCACTATGGAAGTTATGTCAAACAAAGTAGGAGTTACCATTCTGCAACATGGGTGGAAATTATTAGTGTAACCTTCCTAAAAAAAAGAGAGTTGCAATGGCATGTTGGGATTGAACTTAAGACCAATTTTGGACATCTGAATCAAGTCATAAATCTCTTGATCCCTCTAGAACTGACATTTCTTCTTTTCTACCTTATATAACCATGCAATATACTTCTCATTTTTTGGAGAAGGAAAAGCATAGAAAACACGTTTGGATGCACTCATGAACCCTAACTCATAAGCTTCATCTTAAAAGATATTGGGCTTATGAATACAGTAACAGGTGAAAAACTTTCCCATAAATTTAGGTTTCTCATAAGAAGTGGGTAAAGGACCTAAGAATGCATGAATAGTACTAGAAATGGAGAAAGGGGAGTACCTGAGAAGTTCAAATCATCGCTTTCTCTTCCTTTATTGGTGGCTCGGGAATGTAGTTATGCTTACCAACAACATTAAGAGCTTCACTTTCAGAAGTAAGGGGAATTAGAAGTCATGGTGTAGAGGAAGAAACCATTTTTTCCTATTAAAATTTGATAGAGACAAAAGTTGAAATGTTATGGAGGTTTTAGAAATTATGACTTTTTGAAGAAGACAAAGAAAGTGGAAAATGAAAAATAAGGGGATATTTATAGTGAAAAATGTTATGGTCCCCCCCCCCCTAACAACAACAAAGTGGGTCAAGTGGCGCTAGAAAAACATACATGTGGTGTTTGACGATCTTGAAGAAATTTAATTAAATATTTTTTCTTTAGTGAAGTTTAATTGTTGTCCTTAGGAATCGAAGCAATGATTATCAACTACACACATCTGTGACGCGACAATTTGGTCAAAAGAAATGATGACTAAAAAGCGTCTAGCTAATGTGACATGTATAGGCTATTCCAGACAATGTCGAACAGTTACAAAAAACATCACCTTTTTTCCATGTGATACATATGATCAAAAGTGGGTTTTTTTTTTGGGGGGGGGGGGGGGGGGGGGGGGGTCATTTGGAAGCTTGGAAATTCTAACTAGAGAAAAGTCAATAGAGAATGCTAATAGGTACATTGAAAAATGCTAAGGGTCGAGTAATCTTGACGGAAAGGCTTTGACATGTTAACCACGTCAACTAAAGTAGTTCGAGTTGTGTGGTAAGCATGGTTTGGAAGAATCTCAAGAATAGATCCACAATATTATGGTCACTTTCTCTCTTTAAAATATGTCCAGAATCTCAAAAAGGACTTTCGACAAGATGGTTGGGTTTGAAGAGTTCACCAGTTATCTAGGACTTAGTATATTTTTTAAGTTTCGCTAGTACAAAAATACCTTTTCAAAAAAGGTTGTTAAGTCAGTTCACCTGCCACCTGATTTAAGAAGCAACGCGGTGACAATTTAATAAATATTTATAACTTAGTTGAGTCGGGTGCATTTAAAACCGACTTAACAAATATTAAATAAAAATTATAATTCACATTAAATTTCCTAAATCGGTTGTGATCGATAAGTGACTTAAGAAATATATTTAATAAGTCAGGTGTATCCTTATCTTACCTAAGAAGTTTTAATTACTTTTAACAAAATAAATTTTAATGCTAGATGAGGGATCAAACCATGTTCATAACCTGCTGTGTATTTTATTTTGCAAAATAGAACAATAAAACCTAAATTTAGCACCGGAGACCTTATGTTACCAAATGTTTTAACTTCATTTATCCCCAATCCAAAACGTATAATTGACAATTGATTCATAACCTACCGTCTCCCACTCTTCTTCGGTCTTCCTACCGAAACTGAAAACCCTATGCGCTCTTAAAGATATGAAAACTCCCCCAAACAAGGACTTCATCGTCAAATCTCTTTGAGGAAGCCTCTCACATCGCCGCATTTCACATTTCTTTTTGTTGTTTTCATCCATGATAAAAACCTAAATCAATAGTATATAGTTTCTGAATTAGCGTGATTGATAATGCTGTAAGTCTAATGCAGTATATGCACCCGTAAAGTACTTCTAGTTACGGTTTTATGTAGTTGAATTTGTTAGGTTAGATAGAAATGAGTTGAATAATTAGTTGCTTTTCTATTTCTACAATTTCTGTTTCTTGCATGAAGGGAAGAGTTTGTAATAGGACCTTCACTACTTGATCCAAGAGAGCGTAAGTAACTCAGTTGGCAAAGTCCTCAGAATTCCAAGGAATTAAATATGTTGGTTACGTAAGTGCATCAGAGTTGGTAGTTTATATAAATTAGTTTGGAAAATTTATGATTTGTATTTCTTGATTCCTATTTATGGAAGTACTTCTTACTAGAGCTTCTTTTTTTGCTCTTTGTATCTGACTTTCTTACAGTGAACTCTCACATATTGTTCTAGTCAATGCTAAACTTTTAGAAATTTTTGCATTGTCATACACAGTTTTAGTTTAGAATTTGTTACATGGATTTATTTGTTGTTTTAATATTATCTTTTTTGTTTTATTACTTAGGTACAAGGAATATAGTTAAGCAATGAGACCAATGCATGGTTTAGTGAAGCTGTTGGAATGCCTTGCACTTTGTTACGATATCCTGGTTCCAATCATGAGTTTGTGTTAGATAAGACAAAGATGTAGTCTCAGGTATGTGATATTATGATTGAGTATATATTATATATAATTTTGTAACTGTGATATTACTAAAAAATATCAACTTGTTAGGTGGATTAAATATATCCGATTTAAGATAGGAACTTATTAGGTCGGGTATAATTGGCATAAACTTTGTGAAAGCCTAGATTTATTAAGTCGGATGTTGTTTAACAGATCTAATAAACTTTTCTTAAGTCAGGTCCAAAACCGACTTAAGAAGTAACAATTTCTTATGTCAATAATTCTTAGGTTAGACTCGGATCCGACTTAACAAGCATTTTTCTACTAGTGTTTAAGATTTGATTAAGCAAAGGGCTTTCGACAAATACTATAAAAGTAAATCATTGATTCTTAAGGGCAAATGAGGAGTTCGAAGCAGTTATCAACATGATATTTGGTTTTTCAGCAGTTATATCCTTGAAGACGCGTGGAGACAAGCTAGAACATGAAAGCCGCCTAAGTAGTGGGATACGTGTCAAATCCATAGGATTGAACCATTGTCAACGATTATTGTCTTAGTAGTATATAATGCAAGCTTATGCACTGTAGTCGAGGTCGCAAACTTCTCCTTGATTCTCTATAGAACTACAATACCTAAGTTACATAGCGAAATAGTTTGTAAGAAACGTGAGTATGCATCCATTCCTTAAACTTCTACAAATATTTTGTATTCTAAGCATTTACGTTAAATATCATTTACTTCATTTATTTTGTTTTTCGTGTATTATCTTTATCCAAAGTTAATTGTTTACATCCAGTTATTTGTTATTCAATATTCTAAGTGAACTAAACTCGTGATTAATTACTAAAAATATCGGTAAATAATATATATTCATTTTTCTATTACATAGATGAGCAATAAATATTTTATCTATATAAAAAAAAATTCTATTACGTTATAAAAACATAAATAATTATATTCATTTTTAAACATTTTTATGTTATAAGCATCCAATCCGTTTTTATACATTATATTTAAAAAAACAAAAATAACAAATTTATTATCTATATAAACTTTTTTCCTAACACAATAAAACATATAACATACTTATTCTAATACAAAAGAAACAAAAATAAAGGAGAAAAAAATTATAAAACAATAACCACAATCCAATATAGATGAGAAAAAGTTTCAATTTGAAATGTGTACCTTATAAAGTAGAAGGAAAAAAATGACTCTTGAGAAAAAATTGCACTGAATCTGGATCCATTGTTCAAGCTTTGAAAGGAATAAGGGTTTTGAAGGAATGGATAGGATAAAAGGGGTATGCTTGCTAAGAGAGGTGCAGAGTTGAGTGATAGAGTAAATGAATGTGAGGAGGAGAAAAAACGCGTTGAGAATATATAAAGCATAATTTTAAAAAGAGGTGTTGCGAGGTATTTTACTCCTCACAATATAATATTTCAAAATTTTAAATTTCTCCACTAGTTGTGAGGAGTAGAACATGTTAAATTGACTTTTTTTTATTATAAGTGTGTTGCAAGGAGAAAAACTCCCGACAATGTAACTTTTTTTTTAAATGAATAATTAAATTAAATAACAATATTCATCATAAACAAATCATGTAACTTATTTTTTTTTTAAATCCAAACAACAAATGATCAAAACAACATACTACTTTAATAAGGCTATTTTAATAAGGGTAAATATATATAATATAATTAATAAATACAAGAGTAATTTAATAATTTTAAACAAATTGGATGGGTGTGGGCGTGAATACAAGTTGGATAAATACACTTAAGCTCTTGCATCTACCTGCGTTTTTAAATTTAGATTTTCCCTTTGTATACCTGATTGTACTTTATTAGAGTGGATCATTAAGGTCTATGAGCTGTGAGTTGAGCAGTAACTGGAAGTGAGTTGAGGGGTATCTGTAAGACACTCTGATGTCAAAGTAAGGTTCAGAGCAATGCTAGCAAGTATGAGAGTGAATGAAAGAATGAATACCTGACCCTCTCAAGAGAGAGGGTATTTATAGCCCTCAACGTTGGGCCAAGATCCCCATTGTTGGGTTGGGCAAGCAGGTCCAAAATGGAGACTGTCAGGTTCTACGTGCGTAGTGCGGCCAACACGTGGTCTCCAACCTAGATGGACTCCCCTGAATAGTCAGGAGGATATGGATGCGATCTTTTAAAGACCAAGAGGACTCTGATATTCGGGAGTGTGGTGAGTTAACCCTACGAGGAGGAGGTTCGTGGTGTCCTTATGTCATCGTGGGCCCTCCCTGCCAGATGTGAGGTCGTCCAGGAGGGCTTGTCTTAGTCGACGAGAAGAATGGAGGATGCTCGTGAGATCCTCCTAACCGGCGACGAGCCTCCTTGCGATTCCTGGACTTATCCTCGTACGGAGAAGCCGTGTTTTCATGAAGAGTGAGGTTACTGTCCGACATAGTCGAGGACAGACTCGGTCAGCAGGCCTCCTCGAGCAGCATAGTTGGATTGGGCCTCGTACGAAGTCGGGTCAAGTGCAGACCCAGTCTAGAACAGGAGCCCCCTAAGTCGTTGCTCCTGATGAAGGAGTTATGACTTAAGTCCAACTTCTCCTTATGGCGAGCATAACTTCGTCGAGGACCTTTTACTGCATCGAGGGAGAGGGTCGTTAGGATGCACGTTTACTCGAGCAGAGGTTGGAATTGGATTGATGGGGAATGTTTCATTTATTTCTCGACTCGCAGGGAGAAGTTACCATGCAAGGTGTGGGCACGTTGCATGACCTTTGGGACAGTAATGATGGCCTAGGGAGTAGGGGTCATTATTACCTGAGCACGTAGGTGGCAAGGAGAAGGGCGGTTGATGGTCTGCCTGACGCGACGCTTCATATTCCATGTCAACCCTATATATAGTGGCTTGGGGCCCATTTCCCACATTTCGACTTTCGCTTTCTCACTTTCTCTATCGCTTGTACCGCTTCTCTGTCTTTCCATCATCAACACTGTTGTAAGACCCGTCATGGATTCTCCATCTCCTTTTGATCAAGTAAGTGTTTTCAGCATTGAATGTTGTTTACGATTGGATTTATTGATGGTTCTTTATAGAATTTCGTTATCAGAGGGTTTTTGCTCGGGGCGTTCATACATTCATGCGTAACATTTGTGAGTGTGCTCATGATATTCATTTATTCTCCACGGAATTCATGAAAATACCCTTGAAATTCATTTGTTCCCCGCGAAATTCATGAGTTCTGCGCGGGGAGTTTATATACTCCCCGGTGAATTCATGAGTTTGTCCGGAAAATTCGTATGTTCCTCGCAGCATTCGTGGAGATGCTCGCGATATTTATCCTGTGCCCGTGTTACCCATGAAATATTTATTTTGTTATTATCATCGCTGAGTGGTCTTACAAAATTAGTAAATTCCATGTGTTGATTATGGGTCATGTATGTTCCCCAATGCACGAGTGATCGTCGACCTAGTCTAGGCGAAGCTATCCCCTTTCACCCGTGATGCGGTGGATGGGTGGATATGATTTTACTATCGAATTCGCTGGTTTCCTCTGCTTTACATGTGAAATGGTCGATACTCCCGAATCATCCGAGCACATAGATGTCGAAGAGATAAGCACGGCCAAGGAAGGGCACCACTTGGTCGACATTGTCGATGACCCTGCGTTATCTTAGGTCGGGCCAGAACCTAGAGGGATAGCTTTGATCTATAGTTATATCCGAAGGGAAGAATATACCGTTGTCGAGCATGGCGGCAATATGGAAGGTTTTCGTTGGAACTTCACGGTCCTGCGACCGACTCCTACGGCCAGGATATGCATGGAGTTCGAGGAGGACCGCTTCCCTATGTATGAGATCATATTCAAAGACTTGGGGCTTCGTTTTCCCTTTAATGATTTCCAAATGGGCGTGTTTAACCATTTGAGCCTGGCGCCCTCTCAATTACATCCTAACGTGATTACCTTCATCTGGGCTTTCGAAATCACTCGTCGGTTCCTGAGGATTGGGGTGACCATTCCTCTGTTCTTCAGGGTTTTCCACCTCGAACGGTAATCTAGGGGTGGGAAACATAGTTAGGTTTCCTTGAAACAGTCGAAGAGACTGTTTAGGATGTACATGGATTTTGTTCACGACTTCAAGGATAGATGGTACATTGTGCAACCTTTGTCTCAAGCGACCGTGGATGTCGTGTTCGACCCAGTTCAAGTAGCAGATGAAGATGAGGAGGTATGTTATGACGAGGAGAGAAATCCAGAGATTGGGCGACTTTCGAAATTCCTTATCCACTGGTGCTCCGGCCACTTCGAGCATAGCCCTGGCCATTACCATACCCCTTCTGGTAGTATAAGTGTCAAGGATGAAGAGTCTTATGGTGTCCTTAACCGATTCTTCGACGGATTTATTCCCTCGGGGTGGGTTACGAGGGAAGGACATGAAATTCTTGACGACGATGGTGAATCGACGTTCGAGGCGCACACGATCAACACCAAGGAGCTCGTTTAATGTCAAACCTACGGGAAAGCCGTGAAACTTCTAGGTTTCTGCTCGTATGATTTATTGCATTTTAACTTCTTGAGTTATTTGTTTATGTCCTTCTAACAAGACTAACCCGAGGATATTGTTTTTGTTTTCGCAGGTAACATGGCAGAGCGTCGTGAATGAATGCTGAAGCTGACCCATGAAAAGAAGAATCATAAGAGGTTGGTGAAGCCGCACCAGCCCACACACCTTGGTTCGGTCTCAGAGTCGGTCAGGGATCGTTCGAGTGGGTCATCGGGTGCCTGTGACGTTGCACAACACGCGGTTGTGTTAAGCAAGAAAAGAAGTCGTCCCAGGGGTGGACTTGCAAGTGCGGTCGAGGAAGGGGTGACTGCCTAGGCCTTCAACCTTACCCCTTGTTTTATGGAAAGGGATTTCTTCGAGTTCCCTCTGACTGTGTCTGATGCTGAGTCTGACATTATCAGACGCCTCGATAAGGAGGGTCGAAGGAAGCACTTGGCTTCTGGGATGGTTGGTTTGATGAAGATCGTGGAGATGGTCGTTGTACTTGCAGGTGAAAGAGCTGGCTCTTCTGGACTGGTGAGGGAATTGGAGTCGGAGAAGGTGACTCTTCAGGCGAAGACACAAAAGTTAAAAGGTGCCCTTGAGCGGAGTGAGGAGAAGTTTCAGGTGCAGGCCGACGAGTTAACGAGGGAGAAGGAAGAAACTGCCAAAGCTTGTGAGGAAAGGGATTCCTTGTTGCTTGAGAGGGAAAGGTTGGAAAAGGAGGTCATCGAGTTAAAGGCCGTTATGTTTCCTATGGACGAAGAACCTGAAGGAGTTTCTGACTTGCATTCCCGGGCATAGCTAATTGCTCGGATCCAGATCCTCGAGTCGGATTGTGTTGACGCTTTGACCGACGGATTTGAGACTGCATTGACTCAGCTATCCCTGCTGAATCTAGGGCGCAACACTGATGGTGTCGGGGTATTATCCTAAGTGATTGATGGTCATATGGTTCCTCCTCCTGATTCCCCCGAGGTGGAATTCGAAGTGAGCACTCCACTGAGTAACTAGTATTTCTATGATATTTTGTCTGTTTGTATTTGGGGCCTGCATGCATGTAACTTATTGTAATATTCAGACAACGTCAGCCTCCGTGGTCGACATTTATAAATGTTTCTACTTTGTTTTTATGTCTTTACGTTTTCGTTGATGTTTGCTAGCTATTTGTTAGTAGTTTTTTTTTGTTGAATATTTGCTAGCTATTTATTTGTCATTGCTTTTGACTTGTTTATTTTGTGAAAATTGTGATTTTCATGAGTGGAGGTTTATGCTCAACCTTGGTTCTGGACGACACATGTTGGGATGTGTCGAGGGGGTGGAGTAGGGATCCTTGGAACAAGCTCAATATCGCGGTCAGGATCTTAAGCTCGTGGCGTGAACTTCCCATCGCGAGTTTGGTGTTCTACCTGTTCGGTACTTCGACAGCAGAGCTCGATTGAGGTGTCCCTGTCGGGCTAAGGTTTTGCTCGAGAAATGAATATTAACCCACCAGTGTTGATGTTTGGAGGCCATGTCCATACCTTAACATGCCTACGTGGTCGAGTCCATCCCGTCGTTGGTTGGAGAGGATTGGTCGACTGTTAATGCCTATAGCAGGATAAGGACTTAGATGTAATATTGTTTCAGTTTCGTAGAGTTCCATGGTCGAGGTAGTGGTTCTCCATTTAAATGTTCGAGGTAGTATGCCCTGGTGCTCGTAGCTCCATAGACGCGGTATGGTTCTTCCCAGTTCGCAACCAACTTCCCTTCGCGGGAATCTTTCTGATTTCTCTGCAGGACTAGGCTGCCGAGCTGGAATTCGCGCTTTATGACTTTGTTGTCATGGAAAAAGGTTATCTATTGTCTCAGT